GACTATACTACAGATACACGCAGAAACGTTTCTGTGGGTCTTATTAAAAGGTCAACATTTTTCTACGAACATCTACCATCAGTCGAAATCATACAAAACATTTTAGTATATTCTAGTATAATCATCCCTCCAATTTTCACCGATGTTGGGTGTATAGTTATCTCAATAAAAATACAAATAACATCAACAAAACGAAGGAAACTAACCTCGAAATCTAAAAATAGCAACAGAACCCCCGTATGCTCTTAGCTGTATGCGCAGTCTACATATTCACGATAACCTTTCTCTCACTGCCGATATACATCCCCGAATACGCGTCATACTCTCTGACTGATGAAGCACCCTCTAACTTCGGTAAACTTTTTTATCAACTTGTCAACATAGTGGGTTGTACCAACAGCTCTACTGACTTTATCGTCTACATTGTGCTCAACAAGAATTTTAGAGCCACCTACCAGGTAATGATGGGATGTCGTGAAAAAGTAAAAAGATAAACATATTCTACATCGGCATTAGGTATAATTCAATGTCTTAAATAAACCTATATGGAATACTTCAATCGAATTAGTAACGAGCCAAACTTTAATAAATGCGAAATCAGAAGCCAATTTATGTTAATTACATTTTTATTTTCGGGTTAAGAATGAACTTTCTTTAAAGTCTAAAGTATACCTGCATTACGTCATTGTTTACCTTCTCAAGCCCTCTTTTACCTGCACATTTTAAAAATAAACGTTTAAATTTTAAAATACCACTTTATTATGGTAAAGCAACGTTTGAGCTTAATAGTTTCTCTTCTTTTAAATTTGATGGAATGCTATCGAAAAGGATTAGCTTTAATTATAATTGATTTTGAAGTTATCCTATATGTGTCGATACGTTTGATACATATTTAATTTTAATCTTCTAAATCCATCAGGTTAATTTGTTCGGATTTTTAACGAACATAAAAAAATGCGGCTTTTTAAATTTGAATTTACACTTTATTTCACATTTCCGACTTCTTGACCATCAAAGTACGAATGGACCTCATCAGTTGTTACAAGTGGTGCCAGAACTAATAGGGCAGCTGACCAATGTAGTTGCCCCTGTAATAAATTATTTTCAAAAGAAAATTTTTAAACAAAAATATCAATCTTTATTTCTTTATTTTTATTAATTATTTTAAAATAAATCTTTAATAAAAATATTATCTTATATCAAATGTAAATACTTAAATAATTATCAAAATTTATTATATAAATATATATATATATATATATATATATATATATATATATATATATATATATATATATATATATATATATATATATATATATATATATACGAGAAAAATGGCCCGTTGAGGAAAGATACAACGAAAAATAATTATATACTTTTTTCAGTGTCCGCCCCCTCCCCAAAAATTCTAACCCCACCCCCGAAAATTTCAAGTACCCCCACCCCTCTCCGGGGAGGAAAAAGTCTGAAAGAAACATTGGTCGCATTTGTAGATCATACAAACTAAAGGAAGAACCTGGGCGGGGCTTCGCCCCAACCGGAAGAGATGCATGAAAAAAACTGTGCACGCTAAACACTTTTTAGATTAGAAAAATTCCCCCCTCCGGTGAGGAAAAGGTCTGAAAGAAACACTGGTGTCGCGCTTAGCCACTACCCGAAGAATTGCATGAAAGAAACTGCAAGCAAATCACTTTTTAGATTAGACACATTAATTAGGCGGTAATTTTATTATAGAGAATCGATGAAGAAATTTCTTTTGAGTTGGGGAGGGGGGGGGGAGCTCAGACGTTCTTACGCGGGGGTGAGGCTCGAGAATCAATGACGTCATATTACTGTGAGCACTCACCGGCTTGATAATATTTTCTACTCTATGCTAAATGTGACGTCATATTTCGCTTCCGTTCTTTGTGTGTGTTTAAACACGATTACTTGAGTACTGTTTAAGCTAGATTGCTGAAATTTCATATATAAGTATTTTATCAAAATAGTAGATCCGTATCAACTTTTGAGCGATTTCCGATAACCGGAAGTGGTACTTTTTTTACTTTGAATTTTTCAAAAGCCTATAACTTTAGTACTATTTCAGATAGATAAATGAAATTTCACATGTAAGTAAAAAATCTAATTCTCTACCTTCTATTAAATTTTGAGTAATTTCCATTGACCGGAAGTAGTAATTTACGCTACTTCCGATTTCTCATAAAACTAATGTAAATTTTAAAAGTACTTATAATATTGCGCACTATTATGCGTTTTTTTATTTGGCGTTCACTTGGTGTGCAATTAATTTGTCTACGAGATTTTATTCTATTTTTAAATCTTTAAGTATTTAAAATGGATTAAAAATCATGTCTATAGCCCGAGTTCCCATCCCCTGTTATTTTATATAAGAATATTCGAGAAAGTTTAGTGGAGATCACTCCCGGTTTATTTTCTCCATCACCGATTTACGATTTTGGGAAAGTAAAATTGCTCTTTTATGATACTCACATTGCTGGTGCTCATGGCTCATTAAACTTGTCTGTTGCCTTTTTCCAGTTTGAAACTTTTTGAACTTTTTGATAGCTTATCCGAAGGCTGACTACCTACACTACGATAATTCAAACTAATCAAAACACAATATTTGCAAAATGCGCCATCAAGTAATTTGGAATAAGTCAACCAGTTCCACCTAAGTAGCCACAAATATTGAAACTTTAAATTTCTTTGTCCGCTTGCTGGAAATTTTAAAAGTTCATCAGGACGCCAGATGTTTTCTAATAAATACAACCGTGTATCTTCTGTTATAACTCCTTTGATAAAATTGCCGATATTATTTGCGTAAGAAACAGTCGAAGGTGCTGAATTTATGGAAATTTCTTGATGTAATATACTTTGAAAAGCAATAGTACCATCTTCATTTTTATCATTTTCAGTTTTATTTTTCTTTGTAAAGAAATCAGTTAATTAAGTAGTTTTTAATTTCCTTTTTCCTTCCGCCATCATTGAAATGAATTTAAATTGCTTGAAGTAGTTAAAAGAAACACATTAAAACACGACTATTCGAAGAAGAAAGCAAATTATTATTGGTCTTCTAATCTGTCTAAATTGACTACTGTAGGTTCCTGGCTTTACATCTATATTTAACCAATTTAATATATAGCCTACCAACACAAAGTTTTGTGTCAACAATTGTGGGTCAAGCCCACGCCTTCCTGCAAGATGTGCGTCCGGTAGTATTTTATAATTGATACGTACCAATATTCATCCCACCCTCACCCCCTTTTACACCCCTTAACTGATAACCTTGTTCAGCTTTCCATTCTCCTATTGCGACCCTGAGTGTTTGTTGTTTAAGTACCGAATGATAGCGACACAAGTCCATCGTCGTCAATAGCTGTAACTAAACGTAAAAGATTGTCATTTTGAAGGTTCTACCCCCCTCCCATCACCCCTGCCTACTCCTCCCTCTGCCATCTTTATCACTTTCAGTTTACTTATCTTTTAAAAAATTAAGTGAAATGAATTTCAAATGGTTTGAAGTAGTAAAAACATACACATTATAGAACCTCAATGCGAATAATAATCAATTCCTTTGTTTGTTTTTCATTTCTAGACGCTTTCCGATTGCACTACAATTATATTAGACAACAAAGGCCTAACCACGTAGCCCACCCCTCCCTTTCGACACTCCTTAACTGATCTAAACTTGGCCAACTTTCCCTTGGCCTTCTGTATTCCAGATTATTATACTTTACTTTAGCGCGATAATAACATTCATAACTGAATTCTACAGACAATTCTCATCACAATGATATACATTATTGTTCTAGAAGCTCCCAGGCTAAAGTGTTTAGTGTTTTAGCCCTTAATAATATTGACACAAGTCAATAGCTGTAGCTTAACGTAAAAAAGTAGTCATTTTAGGGGTCCATGGGGGGGGGGGGGGGTTATAACCCCCTAACCCCCCCCCCCCCCCCCCGCCTACGATACTGATCATAGGCACGCTGTTAAAGGAGGCAAGGTATGTGAAGACAGAGAAATCCAACGCTATAAGCAATATATTGGAGTCTTAAAACATTATTAAAAATATAAAGGAAAAACTCAACGAAGGTTAAAGCAAACAATATCTTCGTTTCATTCCTGCAAGGCCAAGAGATAGTTTAATTGGTGATTGATTTAAAATAAGAAAGTAAATAGTCTAATTGCAGAGTTTCTTCCAGGCATTTCTCTCTGAGCCCCCCCCCCCCCCCCCGCCTCCCCTCTCGCAAAAGTCTCCCGCCCCCCACCCCTCCCTTCCGAACGAAATGGAATTTATATTGAAAAATGTTTCTTTACCAGTGTCCGACGCCGGTAAATGTTGTCCACCCTTCCCAACATCCCAAAAATATTAAGTAACCCCCCCCCCCCAGAGAAAAAAGTCTGAAAGAAACACTGCTCTGTAGAATTCTTTACAAATGTATACTTTTCTTAATCACGGTTTATTTTTTAAATACGATTTTTTACTTATTTGATTTAATATCAACGCTAAAAGAGGAACATTTAGTAATTAATTTTGCTTCAGTAAAGACTTCGGTACTAACATGATTATTTGCTCCCATTTCAGCTAGCAAATCTACGTAGGTACGCTGCATCATTCACCTTTTTTCCATCGTCATGGTAAGAATGGTTGCCAAAATCGACGATATCGTTTACATTGTGCTCAACAAAAATTTTAGAGCTACATACATGGTAATAATGGGATGTCGTAAAAAGGTAGAAAGATAAACATACCCTACATTGGTATTATGTATAATTCAATGTCTTAAACCTATATGGAATACTTCAATCGAATATTAACGAGCTAAACTTTAATAAATGCGAAATGAGAAGCCAAGTTATGTTAATTACATTTTTATTTTCTTTGAAGTCTAAAGTATACCTGCATTGCGTCATTGTTTACCTTCTCAATAAGCCATCTTTTACCTGCACATTTAAAATACAAAACGTTTAAATTTTAAAATATCACTTTATTATGGTAAAACAACATTTGGGCTTAAGATTTTCTCTTCTTTTAAATTTGAAGAAATGCTGTCGAATTGTACTAGCTTTAATTGTGATTGATTATGAAGTTCTGACAGGGTAATTTTGTTATGATAAGAACATAAAACAATTGTGCTTTTCAGTTTGAATTTTCAATTAATTTCAAATTTTCGACCTCTTGACCATCAAAGTACCAATGGACCTCACCAGTTGTCACAATGGGTGCCAGAACTAATAGGGCAGCTGTCCAATGTAGTTTCCCCTGTAATAAATTATGCCAAAAGAAAAATGTTTAAAAAAATATCAATCTTTATTTTTTTATTTTTTTATTAAATATTTTGAAAAATTTTTTTATAAAAATATTGCTATCTTTTATCATATAACTTATGATAAAAGTGTTTATACTTAAATAGCTATCAAAATTGATAATGTATATATACATTCATATATATATATATATATATATATATATATATATATATATTCATTCAGCCAGGAGACGGTTTGTTTTGTATTACTTATCGAGCTACAAGCCTATTTGTACAGGCCCAATTATTCTAAGACCAGAATTGAACGTCTTTACAAAAACTTGCAAGTCACCGAATCCAAAAAGCCTTCAACTATCTGTAAATAAACCTTTCTGCCCAGTTGTGCTCTAGTTAGGGGTGTGTGGAGACACCGTGTGTTTGCAGGTTAGTGCTCACACTAGGCTGACGTTTACGCGCCACACGCTCTCAGCCGACGGTTGCACGTACGCACTCACACACACACACCTACACACACACAAGCATAAACACACATACACGCTTACAAAAAACTGTTTACATTTATAATTTGTTTTCTGATCGAAAAGAAATTGTAAAAATAATTGTTTTTTTAAAATATATTTAACTATATCAAACTAAATGAAATGTGTTGCTACTGTGGGAAGTAATTAACTTATTAAACTAAATTAAATGTGTTCTACGATGGGTAGTTTTTAACTGTATCAAACTAAATGAAATGTGTACTTACGGTGGGTTGTAATTAACTGTATCAAACTAAATGAAATGTGTACTTACGGTGGGTAGTAATTAACTGTAGCAAACTAAATGAAATGTGTACTTACGGTGGGTAGTAATTAACTGTATCAAACGAAATAAAATTTGTACTTACGGTGGGTTGTAATTAACTTTATCAAACTAAATGAAATGTGTACTTACAGTGGACAGTAATTACCTTATTAAACTAAATTAAATGTGTTTTACGATGGGTTGTAATTAACTGTATCAAACTAAATGAAATGTGTGCTTACGGTGGGTAGTAATTACATGAGACCAGATTAGGCATGGCTCCAGTAACATTGACGCACTGAGTGAAGGCACAGCCCACCGATGTTGATTTTTTCCACACCATCTGTCAACAACAACATTTTACATCAATATAATTACATCTTAACTTTTATAAATCTAACTTTACCAAAATATATGCATAAAGAAAAGTAAAGGATTCTTATAGACCTAACGATTCATTACGCAGATGACGTCGATTTCATATGTATCTTTTTCTTGGCATAAGAAGGGATAGTGGAGTAAGCACTGACCCGAACCGCCTTTGTTTCCCTAAGATAAGTTATGTACCCATAAGAGTTGGGTGGACTCAGGGAACTCGAGACTCCCAGGTTAGCAGTCTAGCTCTCTACCGCTAGACCACGCCGTCCCATGTTTAAAAATGTCTTGCTACTGTTTTTTTTTCTTTAAACGATTTCTTACTAAATGCTGTTTAAAAATGTATCCAAACACAATCACTTCAATGTTGACTGTCCCTATTACAGATAAAGTAAAGGTCATCTTACGGCATCATGGGTCAGCTTGATGTCCTGCCACATAAACCTCCATTGACGTCAGTTATATTCATTTGAAACACTAAAGGGCTTAAAGATTCAAACCAGTTATTCCACTCGAGACATTTGAGCACGTTACCACTAAACCACGTTATACTCAGACATCTCTCATTAATACATTTAGACAAAACCTCACCTGGGAATAGTGACCACATGTTGGTGATGTTGTAATACACGACCATTTGGTGAAGTCGACCACATTGACCAGTTCACTTTTCCAGGCAGAAGAGCTCTTGTAGGCTAAAGCAGTGGCGTTTGAGCTCAATGCTGGGAGAAGATAGGTTTACTTATTTCCTACACAACACTAGTAATAGCAGTTTAAATAAACTTAAAGCTAATTCACATCATACAACACAGGATCGGTTAGAAATAAAGATCATATTAAAAACAAATAAAAGTAAACTTGCAAATATAACTGTATTTTGTAACGCAGATTTGATATTTGAAAAAAAAACGAGGTACGTGTAAATCTCACATTTGTGAATGCGAATCGACTGATGGTTGTTATTGGTTACATGATTGAGTTCAATTTGACGGATAGTCACTACTACACGCACTCTACATCATTATATACTACATATATAATTAGTTAAATTGACTTTACCTTATTATCTACTGCATCAACATCTATAGTGTCTTTATAGATAAGGCACATTTTAGATTGCAGCATTGTATAAAAATAACGGTTTATTAATTTTCCATCTATGTACATTCCAAGGCACGAAAGTCTCAATCTACGCATGGTCGCTTGAAAAACGCAGTAACAAAACTTAAGTGCTAAAATCAACTTGAGCTTCGAACTAATAGCAAATATATCTATGCCCGAACATACTGATTTACATTCGTTTACGACATTCTCGCCTCAAGAACTCACAAAGCATAGTGCTTAGAATCTGATTTACCAACAGCAACAGTAAAAGATGAACTCGTGTCCAGCTAATGAACTTTAATAACGTGTGTACACTTGCCACATGCACCATACATTTCAACATATATATGCTATACCTGTCTAGAAAATAAAATGTCGACATACGTTAAATGTATACGTGGGGGGAGGGGGGACCTACTCTGTTAATGGTAAGGTTTTTTCGACATGTATAGTTTACATGTTGCAAGTATAAAAGCGGTGTAACAGAACTATTGGCCTACGTGAAAACATGTATACAAGACATGTACAGTATACATGTCGCAAGTGTAAACGCGGTGTTATAAAACTTTTGGCTTACGTGAAGACATGTACAGGTTCTCTCCATACGGTCCGTAGCTGTGTTTAAAAGCGCACTGGGCTGTCCAGTTTTTGGCGTAGTTGGCCAACGTGGTGTTCCATACCTTGTGAGAAAAAAAAATACGCTCTTAGTTTTCCAATCAAAAATCTACTATGACAGACATTCCTTATTGTATGAAGCAGCGTAACAAATTTGTATTCAATAAAACACCAACATTCACGCAAGTGTATGTGGTTTTATGAGCTAAATGTTGCGGGTTATTTAGAGGTTAAGCTAGAATAATACAGAACACGGGGGATAGCGTGTTTATTAGTTGAGTTAACCCCCGGGGTATTTATGTATCTGTATACCAAGGTCGACGCGTGTATACAGGTTTTTAAAAGCAGAGTGAACGATTGTTCGGGAAATGTTTTTATAGCAACTATTAAAGGGGCATTACTGTGAACTGTGTCGAAACGGGAAGAAATAAAAGCACTTAAAAGATCGGTGTGTAGTGTTTTGAATTGAATAATAGCGAGTCTCAACATTAGATACATTTCGTGGGAACTCTGAAATTGGTGGTAACTGCGAAGCCTCGCTCAACATAAGCAAGGTGTAGCTAAAATGTATTTATTCATTTTTTAAAAGTGCTGGTTTATGGTATGTTATACATTTTTTTCTGTCTGTTTCACTATTAGCAGTTTTTATACGGCTTAGTAGAGGGTAGGGAGACAATGGATGCATCCAGAAGAGTGATGTCCTATGGTCGAGTACAGGACATTGAATGAAGAGATTAGAGGTTTTCTCTCTCTCTCTCTCTTTCTCTCTCTCTTTCTATCTCTCTCTCTCACTCTCTCTGTGTTAATTAGGTAATGCTAAGCAATACGTTCGGTATTAACTGCAGTTGTAGAAGATCCCAAAAGGAAACCACAGTTGGTAAATGCATAGCCCAAGGGGCTTCTCTCTTGTTCGATATCTTTTTATCTACAACATGGATTGCTGCCCTTAGCACCCAAGGGCTTCATTCTTGTTTGATTTCTGATTTTTATCTACTACATGGATTGCTGTCCTTAGTTGACGAGCATCATCTTCCCGAGGGCTTTAACACTGAGCGAAACCACTCAAGCAAAGCTGGATGTTAGATCTAGTGTTAACACATCAATAAAGTTAACAATAAAGTTGGCATTGTTTTTGGTCTGATTACTAAACACATGAACAATGATTGGCAATACAGATCTCTTCTTTTTTGTTGTCAACTAACTGGGAATGTTTGCGGTCAACTTACAAAAGGTATCAAGAAACGACCACATTATTAAATATATCAACAAACGATCAACGTTTTAAATCTATCAAGAAACTGTCAACTTACTACATCTATCAAGAAACGGTCAACTTAGTAAATATATCAACAAAGGCCAACTTACTAAGTATATCAAGAAACGGTCAACTTACTAAATATATGTAGAAACAGTCAACTTACTGAATATATCAAGAAACGGTCAACTTACTAATATATCAAGAAACGGTCAAATTACTACTATATCAAGAAACGGTCAACTTACTAATATATCAAGAAACGGTCAACTTACTAATATATCAAGAAACGGTCAACTTATTAATATATCAAGAAATGGTCAACTTACTACTATATCAAGAAACGGTCAATTTACTAATATATCAAGAAACGGTCAACTTACTAATATATCAAGAAACGGTCAACTTACTAATATATCAAGAAACGGTCAACTTACTAATATATCAAGAAACGGTCAACTTACTACTATATTAAGAAACGGTCAATTTACTAATATATCAAGAGACGGTCAACTTACTAATATATCAAACGGTCAACTTACTAATATATCAAACGGTCAACTTACTAAATATATAAAGAGACGGTCAACTTACTAGGGCTGGAATCTTGAGAGCCGCCCTCACATCGTTGTGAGATTTTAGAAACGCGTCAATGTTGGCTGTGGTCAGAGGCACGGACACACCGGCATAGGCCACAGCTAACATGGCGAGAAACAACTGGATGGACTGCATGGTGGCTGGCTAAAGGAAAGGGAAGCTTAGGGTCTGAACAGCAACTTATGAAATTAAAAGAAATGGCTAAACTGGCTGAAACAACGATTAAATTGACAAGGCAATTTAAAAAAAAAAATTAAAACACTGCTTTACTAATACTATAAATATAAAAACATTGACTGTCACTGATAAGCATAATAATTGAACAAACAAAATTTAAAGCTATGAATAAATTAGCTTTTTAAATTATTAAGATTGGTAAAAATATTTAATTTAAATGTTGCTTTTTAAATTGCTAAGCAAAATAAGAAATATAGTTTTCATTGAAGCTACGGTAACATAGTACTTCATATGAGCATTTAATGCGACATAACATACCAAACATTTTACTTATAAAGATAATAAAATCTACATATTAGCAAAATTAAAATAAATATACTTAATTAAAAACTCCTACCTGAAAAAAAGCTTTAAAAATACTTAATTTAAAAAAAATCTTACTTTACTGTCCGCAGCAAAAAATTCTGGATGAAGAAATAACTAGAAAATCTTCTCTATTTATACCAGCGTGTAACTGTAATAATATACGCCTAGAGGCTATTCAGTGTTACCCGGATTAAAGGTAAGTGGCTAATTAACGGTGTGTGGGACACGTTGTAAGGTATTGTAGTACTGGGAACGTGAACACCTGCCCACACGCGCACACAACACCTCACCAGGGAAGAAAGACAAACAGCAACACGTTTAGAGGTTTTAAGCATGAATTTTGTCATCAATTACCAATAGGCAATCATTTTTCTACACTAAATACGACTTGAAGAGCGAATATGCATATATATATATATATATATATATATATATATATATATATATATATATATATATATATATATATATATATATATATATATATATATATTACATGTATATATTACATGTATATATTACATGTATATATATATATATATATATATATATATATATATATATATATATATATATATATATATATATATATGTATGTATGTATATATAATCCTAGAGATCGAGATGCTTTTTATAAGCTTTTAATTAGCAAACAATGTCGTTCTGTTTGTTTGTTTGTTCGTTTGTTAGTCTGTAGATTTCGGTAAGTGTTTAAAATTGAATTAAACGATTACTAAATTCAATAGTAAAAGTGGGGATAACAAGATCAAGAGCTAACGATTCCCTTGATCAGCTAGCCGACCACGGTGAATTGTTGATGCCATCTGGTTGTTTTCTCCACTAAGAGTCGACCTCAGTCGATTGTGTCACGGAAGGAACTACTAAAATGTAGATAATAAATCAAGTATAAAAATATCTTTATCATCATAAGCTTTTAAATTCAACCAAAAAAAAACGTTACTTCCTTTTATAAAATCTTTGGGCGCTTATGAAATCTATTAATCGTTTTAACGACCAATGTTTTTATTAAAGAAAAAAATTTAAAAATTAAATTTTCATAATTTCGGTGCATTTAAAAGCTTATGACGATAAATGTTTTTCCCATTTGTTTATTTTCTTGTCTGACAACACATCAAACTGAATGCTAACATGTCGAGTCACTCGTTTATCTGAAGACCTATTCAACAATGACAAAAGGTATGGGTATACCATGACTAAATTACTGCTTTTTGCCCTCTTTTTTTCTTGCCTCATGGATTTTCGTATATCTATCTACTGTTTACATTAGTCATAGTAGCTTAATTATTATGTATTCCCTTCTCTGTTTAGAGTTAATAACAACTACTGTGTATCTTCTCTACCAAACCTCTTGCGCTAGTTACTGTCCGCCCAGTTTCCGTTTGTCACTCGTTACTGCCCTCTCATTTCCGTATAGCATTTCCGGAGTGATAAATTCCGGACAAGCTGGTCTCTTTGATGAAATTGTAGAGATATAACGAAAATCTATATAGAGGTCACAGCTAGTTCGTTAATGTGAAGTTTTCAAGCGTTTGCTTCTAAATAAGGTTGGATAATGTAGCAGTAGAGTTCACTTTCGAAACAGACAGCTCACCGAGCAGGTGAAGTAGAGTTCATCTGTTTATGTGACCTCAGCCTATAAAGGGATAGTGCAGTCAGCACTATGCACAGCCGCCATTATTTTCCCTAACGTAAATCCCATCAAAGTTTGACGGACCCAGAGACGTGATACGACTCTAGCAAGGGACCCGAACTCTATTATTTTGAGTTAGCTCTGTTATATACACCTTTTCTGTCTTCTAAGGTTGGGCTACTGAACGCACTATACGATGTATTTTCCTCGACTTACACCCTCCTTTCTTTCTATCTACAAATCTATACAACAACGTACATTCTATTTCTGCATCACAATTCTCAGTCTGAGCGCACTTCAATTTGTTTTTCTCCTTTCGCTATTCCATTTATGATAATACATCTCTGATAACTTTCTTTCTTGCTTATACATCGCGATGGTCTATCGGGACTCCTGAAATTTAATTATCTATCGTGTTTTCTCTTTATACATTGCTCTACGTGTCTCTTTTTCTTCGTTGTTCTTAAGATTTTGAATATAGGATGAATTATGCAACTCAGTAAACGAACCGCGCGGTCGTCTCCAGATGTTTAAGCTTTTTCATCTTACAATTATTTTTCTTTGAGTGGGTTGTTATGGAACCAGGGTCTAGACTAGAGGTTCTTCACCTTTTTAGAGGTACCGAGCCCATCTGTTTCATACACGCATTCACCGAACCCTTTTTAACATTCTATCATTCGTAGTGATAACATCCATTCGCGAAGCATTTGTGTCAAGTAAACTCCGCCGAACCCCTGATACTAACTCATCAAACCACAGAGATTTGATAGAACATAGTGAACCACTAGTCTAGACCGTGTCACTTTACGAAAAGTACAAGTTTTCGTGTGACCTTTGCTATAAAAGCAGGGCCTTAACCCGATAGAGGTTTGACCCACAGAAGCCAAAGAACACGTATGGGGTCACTTAACAATGAGAAGGAAACATAACAATTATACTAATGGTCCTTTACTGCTAGAAGCTTCTGGTTGTTGTTTTTACTTGGCTCCTGATATCCGCCTTCTACCCATACACAGTGGCGTAGCGAGGTCGGGTGACACCCGGTGCGGCACTTAATGGTGTCACCCCCCAGGGGCGTAGCGACTCTTCCCGGGGACAAAATTTCAATTTTCGATTCGCACCCCCCTCAAACTTTCCATTTGCACCCCCCCCCCTCGAACATTCCATTTGCTCCTCGAACTTTCCATTTGCACCCTCCCTTAAACTTTCCATTTGCACCCCCCCCCTCAAATTTTTCTCTATATATTTTTCTTCTTTTTCCCTTGGTTTCACCCCCCTAAGTGGTGTCACCCGGTGCGGTCCGCACCCCCCCCCCCCCCTCGCTACGCCTCTGCCCATACAACAGTTTTGTAAAAGCATCACATTTTAAAATTTGCCTTTGTTTCCTTGTACCGACAAAAAAAGTTTTAAAAAAAATGACATCATTATATACAGTTTAGAAAACGTTTATTTCGACTTCCACAAAATTTTAGAATACTTTTTTGTAAATACTTTTTCTAGTGAAACATAACATTTTTTTTTCTGAATGAGTTTTTAAATTTCGAGCTGTGACTTGGAATATTCACTGTAAGGATCCAAAAATTTCGCAGCTCTTGATTAATGGCTGTATCTGTTCTGCATCTAATAAGGCTCTACACCAACGTAGTTGCCTCTGTGGAAGATCGTAACAACAGTTACAACAGTTGACAAAACTTGTTTTATTATTAGTAATTATAACACTTCAAACTATTGATATCAACTTAAGAATTATTAGCGAAAATTGTTTAATTTAAAATTCGAAACTAAGTTTACAAAGACTAGTTTGGCTATTCTCACTCTAACACACATATAGTTCACAAAGACGAAGAGGCTTTTGTGTCGAGGTTTATATTCTTTGATTAACGTTAACTCTAAAGAGATTACACAGGGATTGTAAGCTCATCTTGTTACTCAACACTAGGCTTTCCTAGTCTGATAAATCTCCGGTCACTTGTAATCAGACTCGAAAGCAGTATCGGTGTAGGATTTATTCAAACTTCATGTTGATGGGATATTTACACATAATCATTCAGTGGTTGGGATATTCACATATAATCATAATGTGGTTGGGATATTCATAATTAATCGTAATGTGGTTGGGATATTTACACATAATTGTAATGAGGATGTGATATTCACACACATACAATCATGTTGTGGATAAACTTACATGTAACTTCGTTGCTCTATAAAAGTGTGAACTTCATTTGGTTTGTGATTAAATAAAGTATGCATGCAACAAAAATGTAAAAGAATTCATTCTTTTTTTTTCAAAAAAGGCTGTTATCCCTTCGGCCAAGAGCAACGAAGTTGTGTTGCATTGAAATTTGTACCAATATTGCTATACGGAACTAGACCTGAAATTTATCATCAACTTTTTTCTACAAGAAACTGGTAATCAGAGTTTCTTCCATGCATCTCTTCGGCCCCCCCCCCCCCCCCCCCCCCGAAAATTTTTTACCGCCCCCCCCCCCCCCCCCCGAACGAAATGAAATTTATATAATTTATATAGAAAATATATACTTTTAACAGTGTCCGCCCCCCCCCCGAAGAAAGTTTACCGCTCCCCCCCCCAAAGATTTCACGTGCCCCCCCCCCCCCCCGGCGAAAAAAGTCTGGAAGAAACACTACTAGTAATGAAAACAAACGTTTATCCCTGGTTTAACAAGGAATTAATATTAAAAGAAAATATGATCTCACGGTGGGTCATAGTTACAAGAGACGAAGTTGGGCAATACACCATCAGCAGTTTTCTTACAATGAGTGATGGCACAGCCAACTGATGTTGTATCTCTCCACACCATCTGTAGATGAACCAATCCCACATAGTTTATTTCAAACTGGCGTATCATAATCATAATTAAAGATGTTTAATAGCGTCTTATAGATCCTTCTGTGATGTGAACTCGAGACCTTTGGGTCAACAGAAAGGCGTTCTAAATTCCGACCACGCTTTCCACAGCAACGTCATTGTAATTTATCTTACTTATGATGATTTCAAAATCCTCACTCAAGATATATTTTAATGTTTTATTAATGCTATTTTATTATGTTTCATCAATAACCTTATTTAGACGTCTCACCCATTCTAGTTTAATCTGACCGATGATGTGTATGTATCGAAAATCATATATTAGATTATATCGCTATATGGATGTTTTAATGCCTGACTAGCGATGATTTAGGGTTTCCAAGCACTTGCTTTAACAAGCCACTAATGCTGGTTAAAACATATCATTATTAATGTTCAACAATGCCTAGCTAATGATATTTATAATATTTGAAGATGTATCACCTGTGAATAATGGCCACAGGTAGGTTCTCCAGTGATACATGCCCATGTAGAGTTGTCCACATACTTCACTTCTGATTCCCATGCTTCGGCACTCTTGTAAGCCAAATCAGTGGCGTTTTTTTTGAGAGCTGAAAAAGACATTATCGTTGTTGGTCACATTAGAAAAAAATAAGCCACTATGGGTCCGCTTCTATGATGTCAGCTATGGTATTCTTACGTGAAGATGTGTATAAGTTCTCCCCATAAGCTCCATAGCTGTGTTTATAATCACACTTGGATGTCCAGTCTTTTGCGAACTTGGCCAGTTTCTTGTCCCATACCTGGTGAGAAAATGTAATTAAAAATACAAAGCTATCTTGCAAGGACGACAATAGCTGCAAACCCTCCTCCCGCCTACACCCTGCCGATAAATGCAACAACTACCTGCCTTAGGGGTCATTCATTTATGACGTCCACACGGGGAGGGGGGGGGGTCCGAAAAAATCGACTTTTGTGTACACATGTGGACTGGGAGAAGGGGGTTCGGGTATATGTGGACATCCACATGCGGAATTAAACCGCAAAATACTTTAATTTGATAATTTAAAAAAAATTAATTTAAAAAAATGCTTTAAAAATGTAGATTATGCATTAAATCGGCAGTTTTCGTGGTAAATGTATCAGTAATGTAGCTGTTTACACCCGCCTAAGAAAAAAAAAGATTTTTTTTTTACAAGCGGGGGGGGGGGGGGGGGGGGGAAATGGGACAGTGACCGCGGCAATATTCTAAAATAATTCATGGTATTTCAAAGTTTATTTTTAATATTTCAAACAATTGTAACGAAATCATAGTAGGCCTTCATCATTTTTTTGTGTGTCAAAGCCTATGATGACGTAGATCTAGTCATTTGTTCAAGTAAAAAACTCAAAACGACCACGTTATAATTATATTTTTAAATATCAGCGCGTGATAATGTGCTCGCTTGGTATTAAGTATTAACCCTAAGATATTAAACCTGCAATTATTATTAGTTGAAATTCGTCTATAATTCATTATCACCAAATGTACTATAATACGCGTCTACATAAATTAAGATTTGGATATACATTGCTCTTAAAAACAAAATCATTATAATCAATGTGTACATAAACGTATATTCATTGAGAATAGCCTTATCCTTCTCAATGTGTCGCTAATCAATCGCTGCTCGAAATAAGTCTAGATTATACAATACACGGTGGATAATTTGGCTTGTGGATTTACTTATAATTATTATAATTTTTATTTCCAACCATTGTGAAATGCAAGCTGTGTGTAATTGTTGTAACAGATATGGATCTATAAAAAAATCATTTTAATTAACTTCACAACTGTAGTGTAACTTTATCAGAGCTAGCATAAAGCAGACCACATACACGATAAACATAAGAAAGCTAGCAACTAGCAGATCACATACACGATTCACATAAAATAATTTACAAAGCCTGAGATTAGCAGACCACATACACGATTCACGTAAAACATTTACAAAGCCTGCGATTAGCAGACCACATACACGATTAAATAAAAAATTTACAAAGCCTGCGATTAGCAGACCACATACACGATTAACGTAAAAAAATTACAAAGCTAGCGACTAGCAGACCACATACACGATTAACGTAAAAAAATTACAAAGCTAGCGATTAGCAGACCACATATACGATTAACGTAACAAATTTACAAAGCTAGCGATTTGCAGACGACAATCACGATGAACTTACCAAAGACGCGATGCCCAGATTATTCCTCACGTCGTTGTGAGCCTTCAGGAACGCTTCAATGTCAGCAGACGACAAGGTCAAGGTCACGCCTGCCTGGGCCACAGCTATCACAGCCAGCAACAACAGGATATTCTTCATGGTGGGTGGCTAGATTAAAAACTGTTTTCATAGACGGGAAACAAGATTATTCTTTTTATAAATAAAAAAAAACAAGCAAAAATATTGGTCCTAGGACCTTTGACCACAGGGGGTTTGACCATAGGGGGTTTGACCACAGCGGAGCTTTGACCATAGGGGGTTTGACCACAGCGGAGCTTTGACTATAGGAGTTTTGACCATAGGGTTCAAACTCCGTATGGTCAAGCACCGCTATGGTCAAAGGCCCGCTGTGGTCAAACACCCTATGGTCAAAGCCCCTATGGTCAAAGCTCCGCTGTGGTTAAACCCCCTATGGTCAAACCCCCTATGGTCAAAGCACCTGTGGTCAAAGGTCCGTGCACCAAAATATTCAATGTTCGAAGAGAAATAATTACACAAAACTATGTTCATTTTTTTCGATCACAGATTCAAATGTGTGATGATTAATTTGACTGGGTGGAACAATAAGTAAACAAAATCAATCATAAAAAAATACTTAAAAAAAAACTTTTTAAAAAACCACGTTTTTTCTTATGGACTAAAAAGTAGAAAATAAATTTTCATACATTTGATGATAAAACGTGGGTACGTTCACCATCAAATTTCCCGACCCATCTGCCCGACCCACGTTTATTTGTCATCAAATTATGAAAATTTATTTTCTACTTTTTAGTCCACAAGAAAAGCATGGTTTTTTAAAAAGTTTTTTTTAAGTATTTTATTTTCTCCTTTTAAGTCCGTTGCTATACATGAAAAACGTGGTTTTTAAAAAGTTTTTTATATAGTTTATTTTCTACTTTATCTAATGACTTGATTAAGTATGACTTTACTAAGTGTTTTTAAATACACGGACTAAAAATCTTGAGCGACCGATACGCTTTAAACAGAGAAGGGGCGTAATTTAATTATGCCTACATGCCGTGACCAGGATTCGAACCTGGGTTGTCGCGGCCACAACGCGTAGTACTAACCACTATACGATCACGGCCAGCGCGCTCACATCGATTGGGGCCGAAGTAACTGTGTCAATAGGCCTCCAGTCTTGTCGGTATCTTTAGAAATCATGTCCTCAATTTTATGGTCCTTGGGGCGTAATTTAATTAAGCTAATTTAGGTCTCTAATTGCTAGTTTTTATGATTGCATCTGAAATTGTTAGGCGAAAATAGACTGCATGCCAAATTTCCGATCTCTAGAGCAATCAGAAGTGGGCTAATTTTCGATGTCAATTTTAACAACAAACAAACGCGAAGCTGAGTTAACAATAATAAAATACTTAAAAAAAACTTTTTAAAAAACCACGTTTTTCTTGTGGACTAAAAAGTAGAAAATAACTATTTACATACATTTGAATTTGATGACAAAAAACGTGGGTCGGGCAGATGGGTCGGGAAATTTGATGGTGAACGTACCCACGTTTTTTGTCATCAAATTCAAATGTATGTAAATAGTTATTTTCTACTTTTTAGTCCACAAGAAAAACGTGGTTTTTTAAAAAGTTTTTTTTAAGTATTTTATTTTCTCCTTTTTAGTCCGTTGCTACACATGAAAAACGTGGTTTTTAAAAAAGTGTTTATAAATACACGGACTAAAAAAACTTGAGCGACCAGGATTCGAACCTGGGTTGTCGCGGCCACAACGCGAAGTACTAACCACTATACGATCACGGCCAGCGCGCTCACATCGATTGGGGCCGAAGTAACTGGGTCAATAGGCCTCAGGTCTTGTCGGTATCTTTAGAAATCATGTCCTCAATTTTATGGTCCTTGGGGCGTAATTAAATTAAGCTAATTACGGTCACTAATTGCTAGTTTTTATGATTGCATCTGAAATTGTTAGGCGAAAGTAGCATGCATGCCAAATTTCAGGTCTATAGAGCAATCAGAAGTGGGCTAATTTTCGATGTCAATTTTAACAACAAACATCCAAACAAACAAACGCGAAGCTGAGTTAAGAAAAACGTTTTAAAAATACTTAAAAAAAACTTTTTAAAAAACCACGTTTTTCTTGTGGACTAAAAAGTAGAAAATAAATTTTTCTTTTGTGCTTCCTCGAGCTGTGCAGGTTCTTGTGATGACTGACAAAAAACGTGGGTACGTTCACCATCAAATTTCCCGACCCATCTGCCCGACCCACGTTTTTTGTCAGTCATCACAAGAACCTGCACAGCTCGAGGAAGCAGAAAAGAAAAGTTTATTTTCTACTTTTTAGTCCACAAGAAAAACGTGGTTTTTTAAAAAGTTTTTTTAAAGTATTTTATTTTCTCCTTTTTAGTCCGTTGCTACACATGAAAAACGTGGTTTTTAAAAAAGTTGTTTATATAGTTTATTTTCTACTTTATCTAATGACTTGATTAAGTATGACTTGACTAAGTGTTTATAAATACACGGACTAAAAAAATCTTGAGCGACCAGGATTCGAACCTGGGTTGTCGCGGCCACAACGCGAAGTACTAACCACTATACGATCACGGCCAGCGCGCTCACATCGATTGGGGCCGAAGTAACTGTGTCTATAAGCCTCCAGTCTTGTCGGTATCTTTAGAAATCATGTCCTCAATTTTATGGTCCTTGGGGCGTAATTAAATTAAGCTAATTACGGTCTCTAATTGCTAGTTTTTATGATTGCATCTGAAATTGTTAGGCGAAAGTAGCCTGTATGCCAAATTTCAGATCTGTAGAGCAATCAGAAGTGGGCTAATTTTCGATGTCAATTTTAACAACAAACAAACAAATCCACAAACGCGAAGCTGAGTTAAGAAAAACGTGTTAAAAACGTGTTAAAATGTAAATGTTCAAGACTAAACTGATTAATGCATTTGATTTTCTCAAATACTTATTCAATTTTGAACTTAAAAGAAAACGCAAATTAATTATTTTTTTTTTTGGTGAGATGTTTTGATCGAACGGACAATTGTTTTTCTAGCAAACGTCTGGAACGCATATACATATTAATGCATACAGATGTATATATATATAAATAAATATATTTAAAAATATATATATACAATTAGTAGATAGATAGTTAAATAAATCTGGATATACTTACCTTATTTTGTATATGAACTCCTCTACTTAATATTATAACTGCTGTATACTGAAAATCTCGTGGTAAAACTAATGTATTCGTCAATCGTTACACGTTTTTCTAGCAAATTCTCGGATGAGCTGTTCGTTTCTCACATCTGATTTCACATCGCACTGAGATCAATCATAACTTGACAGACCATTCACGTTTAAATTATGTCCACATGATGAGACGTAAAATACTTTGTTTGTATCTAAAGTTGAGCGTCATACAACATATGCTGTTTTTATTGGGTATCGCTGGGTTTATGCTTGCGACACGTATACTATACGTGTCTAGGAGAAAATAAAACTCGAACAAAGTAGTTATACATGTTGTGTTGGTAGATTATTTTTTTTGTAACATTACATCTTTTGCAGTTTTTTTTTATAATTTTTCCTAGACATGTACAGTAGTTTACTTGTCGAAAGGGTAAAACTGGTGATAGGTTTCATTAATTGTTCAAATCAACAACGGAAGTATGGGAGTAATATAGAAGCAATTCATCACCTTTACTCTCCATACTTTATATTCTATACGAATCTTCTACGTGATGCACATCGCATCATATTTTATCGTTTCCCCCTCTCAGTTTGATTGGCTATTGACTGCTGTCTCTACCCGTAACCATCCATACTCTTACACTCTTTCTGCTCGCTTATTTCCGCTTAGCGTATGTTACTGTTCGCACATTTCTGAATAACTTCGTTACTACTCGACTATTTCCGTTTAACATTCGATATCGTCTACCCATTTCCGTTTAGTACTTTCCGCCCCTTTCCTTTTAACAATGACGGAGAGATCAAAACTCTTTTAGCTTTTGAAAAGCTCTTTGATGAAAATGATATAAGGACGATCTACAGAAGCTGGCTAGCGCTTCGTAAAATTGACCAGCTCATGCGTTTTCTGTCATCTAATGTTAGGTCATTGTACACATGTTTTGATGTGTTTGGTTTGCCTTCGCCAAAGTGGTCACCCTCCTGTGTTTCCCTCACGTTAGTTATGTATCCATAATCTCTGGGTGGACTCCGGTTCCACCGTCCCTATTCATGTTTATATACATCTGATATCTTTCTACATCGTTTTTGTTTCGTGGTTGTGTATGTGAAGTCATGAATGCTTTCTATCTATAAATAAATATTATATAGTTTTTGTGTGTCTATTTTATCGTTTATTGTCTCTTTATATATTGTTTACATCTCTATATAGGTGCCTATCACACTTTTATTCCGAAAACATTCAAGGATTTTGAACTAGTGGACAAAAGTCTTATTTCCACCCACATATTCAGCATGTGTTTATTATAGTTGAACAAATGGTGCCTACATTAGTTTACCAGAATATATTTACACAAAAACTACTACAAAGCTGACGACATCTGAGAACCGTCGTTGTAAATTGAGAACAGCTGAAGCTGAAGTAATTAACTAACATATTCTTCTGTTTTATATAAGTTGTATTGATTTTTTTAAAACAAGAGTTGAGTTTGTGTTTGATTTTGAAGTTTAGGGGGTAGGCGCTGGTTAAAAAAAAACTTTTTTAATACTCGTTAGAAAACAATTATTTCTTTAAAGCTTTTTTAAGGTACATCCGCATTTGCTTTTTCACTAAAAAAATTGGTCGATAAATCTTGGTAACAATGACAACGGCGGCCATCTTGAAAATTTAAATTCTTTGTAGGTTTCCACCATTAATAAAATATTATATTTTAAGCCCAATAAACAATGAATTCATAATCTTCTTCCATATTTTGGGGTACTCAGCTAAAAAAATTTAAGTGCATTAATTCAAAACATTTTATTATGAATTTTCAAAATGTGTGTCCATTCAAAAAATTTAATTTTGGAGAATTTTGGGGCATTAAAACTAGTGTTGTTAATGGACCCACAATTTGAAAATTCATGAAAAATTCATTTGAAGATATGCACTTAGAATT